TGGTGAGATGAGCTTGCGTTCGATTCGCGGTGTCTAAGTAGGGGGGTTATACTGAAACCGAGTATATCTTTTTTTTTTCGCTTTGTGGGCAGAAGCGGCTTCCTGCTAGATCAAATCATAATTCCGAAGGAGAGCATATGGAGAATGACAATCAAATCATTTGTGTGCACAAGTATCGAAGAAAGAGGAGGAGGGGACGACAACCTGATACAAACAAAGCTCGGAGCATGGGGGCATAGCTCAGTTGGGAGAGCAGCAGACTGAAGTCGTTGGAAATGAATTCATTATTCTGAAGGTCCCGCGTTCAATCCGCGGTGCCCCCATTCGGGAAGCATACGTCACCACGTGTCCACTCATGATTGTGGCGTACCCACATACCACTGGCTCACTTTTGGCAATCCGAGTTTTTATCATCCTTAGCTACAAATTCAAGTGTCCAAGGATTTCTACAGAGTCTGGGACGACGTGGATCAGATGAAACTTAAGGTTGACGAGGATCAGAGTTATCCTGAATTTGAATGTTCCAGCGCCGCCCTCCCTCCTTTCTCCGTAGGCCTGGCAGAAAGGCCCCAAAGACCTGGGGGCATAGCTCAGTTGGGAGAGCAGCAGACTGAAGTCGTTGGAAATGAATTCATTATTCTGAAGGTCCCGCGTTCAATCCGCGGTGCCCCCATTCGGGAAGCATACGTGACCGTGTGTCACTCATGATTGTGGCGTATGCACATATCTAGTAGGCACACACGTACCCAATGGCTCACTTTTGGCAATCCGAGTTTTTATCATTCTTCTGAACCTCACCTACAAATTCAAGTGCCCAAGGATTTATCCAGGGGATGGATCAGATGAGGCTTAAGGTTGACGAGGCCCAAGCATATCAGAGTTGTCCTGAATTCTCAGCTTAATATCCAACAGCCCATGATATAAACCCCTGATTTACATCTCTGGTGAGTCTTCGAGCGAGCCTTGGAATCAAGCAGAAACACGGCTCGAAAGTCTTGGAGGACCACTGAACAGCTTGCATCAAGACTCTGAAATTCATTCTCAACACGCAAAGTCAAATGATGGGTATGCATTAAAGGAATGTGTTGGTACAAGTGAGTATTACTTTTAATAAAGAAGTCCGTATGTATTAAGAGGAATCTATCCGCGCCAGACTTTGGGTCCTGGGACGGTGTAGGAAGTGGGAGGTGGGACGGCGTAGATGTCAACGTTGAGGCCAGGGTCTGTGCAACTGCCGTCAGGATTCTGTA